GGCATGGGCAGAGCTGCCGCCAATCCATGCTGCACAGACTGTTCCCACATACCCTAAACGCTGTCCCTGGTGTCCTGTGCCATAGCTTAATGTCTGTACAGGCACTGTACTAACAAAATGGTGGTAGAAAGCTGAGCATTTGCTTCACCAGGTGAGTGGCAGCAGCCCTCCTGCCCACAGTTCATCACGAGCACCATGGGAGAGCCTGCATTGGAGCTTCCCTGGGCAGGCAAGACCCCAGCAACCCCCCATTTGTGCTTTACCAGCACATCCCTGCTGCGGTGGGGACACAGCCATGGTGGGAGAGGAGCCATGAGCTGCCCTGCTGGGGTGGCACGGGAGCTCACATAGCCCTGGGGAACAGCAGCAGTGAACTGCCTGGGCCAAGGGCATCGGCTTTTTCCATTCAGACCAGCTACTCCATCAGGAGAGCACACCCAAGGAGTATTTTTCCTCAGACAGGCTGTAAGGGTAACACCAAACCTCCTCCTGGGCCAATCACCAGGTCAGGCAAGAACAGTGACCGTCACCAAGCAGCTGCTCCCAAAACAAAAGCTGGGGTACAAGACCGGAATTCCAACACCAAGGAAAACACTAAGCCCCAGAGAAGTGCAGGTTGAAATAAGGGATTACTTCCCAAATGTGACTGCCAGTTAAGTGTGCCAGGGTTGAGTCCCCTGATTAAAAGCAGCAGGTTTCTCACCAGCTTCATCATGACTCTGTGTGACAAAGATGATACAAGATGAAAATGGTGAAGGCCAGAAGCAGAATTTGGTACAGAGAACATGTGTCACCTCCTTTTTTCCCATTCTTTGTGATTTTCTTATTTTCAGGATACCAAACAATAACCCTGCATATGCAATAGCTACGTATCAATACTAATCCAAACATTTTCATGCACTTCTTTAAGTCACTGTGACACTGTACCACCGAAACCCACACCTTTGACATGCAACTGGTATTTGGGGAAAGATTTGGGGTGTTTAATGCCTTGCTTAGTCTTTTGGTACATGCTGCTGGATGCAGCTGCAGTGTGAGGTTAGAAGTTTTATTTTTTAAGCAGCAAACCCAAAATCACGTAGCTCACATTTCTGACTCGTCCTATCGAACTGGCTGTTGGTGCAAACGCCACTGGCACACCTGAGCCCAACGCAAGCAAGCTGCTGTCACAGGGCACGGGACCAACGTCACCGCAGGGACTTGCACCTCTCTACCACAAGTCCCTTTCCACCAGTACATGGTAAAACAGAGGCCCAACCCCAAAAGCTTTCCCTTTGGTATGCTGCTTCCTCATACAGCCAGCAGGAAGGAAAGCACAGACACGCTGGCAGTGGAAGCCGAAAGCTCCTGTCACTGAGCCTGGTCTGCAAATGAACTAACAGCAGGAGCTGGGCTTATTAATTTGAACTGTATTCAAAATTTGAACTGTGTTTTTGGAGGGAAGTGGAATGGAGGAATCTGAGCAGAAACAGCTAGGAAGTAGCAACTTGCAAGAAGGAAATTTCCATAAAACCTGGATGTACATGCATTTTTAGCTGGGCTCTTGCTCTAGCTGGCGCCTTTGGGCAGCACCACGTGTATGGAAGGTGCTGTACCAGTCCCTGTAGTGTGGGGATGAGGCAGCCAAACGTGGCAAAGGAGCTCAAGGAAGGGCAGGAGCTATGGGACCTGAAGCCAGAGGCCAGGAACACAAGTCAAACAGGCTGGGAAAGATTAGAGGTCTCAAGCAGGCTTTTTCCAGTTTCCCCTTGCAGTCTTTTCACTGCAAAAGTAGCAGGGAGTGGAAAGAAGAGGATGGGGAGTGCAGGATCTGGTGCTAGAAAGAGAGCATCAAGCTGTCAGAAAGCAGCCTTCACGTTGCTGTTTTAGATTAAGGCGGCTACCAATTGCCCTGAGCTGTTACTCAGTCTGGAGAAGTGGCTAGCACTGGGTGAAGGATGGCTACTTTGCTTCTTTGTACTTCAACAGGCCTACGTGGCCTACTCTGAACAATTTCTAGAGCAACTGCATAAATAGGAGGAAATTAAATGGCTAAACTATCCCTTAGACCTCCTTTGACAGCAGATGACTGATTTTTTATGACCCTGCCCATTACAGTTACCTCAAAGGCTGCATCCAGCTGCTCTAAATCACATAGTGCTTAATCTCTGACTTACAAAGCAAAGTACAAGGCAGAAAGTGCTAAAAGCCAAGGGCTGGGGAAGGACAGCAAAGAGGATAGGCAAGGATAATCTCATAGACCAGCCAAGTGGCTTAATTAGCAAGTTGATTCAATTGCACTGCTTATCCTTCAAGGAAGGCCTTGCCTTGGTATCTCCCCACACAACTGCCTTGAAGAAGAGGCTGCACAAGCAACATGGATGTTGATGGCGCTTCTGAAAACAACGTCACTTCTAAAAATGGTTTGCCCCTTGGATTATTTAGCTTTTCTCAAAGGACTAGTATATTTGGAACTGAGCTTTGTCAACCTGTTTATGTTGCATCACCTAGATTTCATGCCAGTGACTCAGTTCATTTAGAAAGTGTTTACAATAACTCTCTTGTGGAAGAGAGCTGCCTTAAGCAAGCTGGGAGGAGCACAGTGCTTCACTTTTAATTGGAGAAAGGGGAATTTATACAGGCATGAGACAGGTAAAATAGGTCCAGTTGGGGTAGGCTTGCTGCTATAATTACTTTGGTTTTCAATGCACATTTCACATGAAACTAGTTTGTAGCATACACAGACTATATGGTACATTGAACTCCTCAGCATCTTGCTTCTAACAGCTACAGCACTTGTTTTGTTCTCACTGAAGAGACTTCTGCTCCCCCGATGAGAGCTGGAAACGTCAGCTTGAGAGGCTGCTGTCTACGGGGTCAGATGGGGCCAAGAGGACTTCAACCACAAATCAAACCTGCTTCTGGCCTCAGCTCCAGGATAAGCTACCTACTAGTAGTGGGTAAGCAGCAAAGGGTGATTTTGGACAAGAGAAATCTTAGCATAACTAACCTTTTTGCCTCTAGGTTCAGGCTTTTCTTCTTGCTCAGTCTAAACTGTGCACGGTCTTGCCTGTCTCTTGCCCTTTGGGCCAAGAGCCTTTCAGGACAACTCAAGGAAGCCCCTACTGCCACTTGGGATTGGGTTCATTAAGCCTCAGGGGGAAAGGCAGGCACCTTTCTCCTAGGCAGAAAATGGCTCCTAACTTTTGGCTGCTCACATCCAACCCTTTCTGCTACAGAAGATCACTTTCAAAACCCAAAGTGATTACGCTGTTCAAGCTGGGCTCTTCTAGTATTGACAGATGGCCTCATCCAGTGAGCCAGTGACATTTCTCGTGCAGAGCCTTTGGCCCAAGTGATTTGGCTGCTAAAACCACAGCGTTAGCATGGTACAGAATTTTTAAAAATGAGAGGAAAGATGACAAGCTTCTCTTAGCTGAATAGCCATACACAGCAATGCCAAAGTTTCCAAATTAATACAAAGCCAACAGCATTACAGATAAATGTATTTTAATTAGGATTAAATACTATCTCAAGGTATCTTGAAGTCGCACTTGTACTGTACTAATCAACAGCCAGAGGCAATAAAAAAAGTCTGAAGACGTAAAAGTTCTAACATCCAACACATGACAGTAAGTGCTGCCATTTAAAGCAACAAACACCGCTCCCAAGAACAGATATTCTTAGAGGAAAAAGTCATAACATTTTTGTATGGACAAAAAAATTTCAATTGAAGACTGGAAGAAATATATTAGTGGCTGCCTTTTTAAAAGTTTTTTTTTTCTTTTTTTTTTACATTAAATACAGTTTTCTTTAAAAGCAAGGTACTTTCTAAATTCATGGTTTATATACTGTATGTACACAAGAGCAGAACATTGTACAGTGTTTTTGGATAAAGCAGCACTAACTAGCTATAAGCTGGTATGGTGTTGCTGAACCAAATGCAAGAGGACAAGTTAAGCACTCTAGGAGAAGTATCTCCATGGTTGGTATGAGAAAAGTAAAGTATCATGTATGTACAAACTGATTATTCAAACAAATCCTGCAAACCCAACATAATTGCCATGGAACTGTACAAGCTGCAGCTAATCAATGGAAGTCTTACTGCAAGAACTGAGCTGAGATACCCAAAGTAACCATTTTCTTTCAGTAACAAAGTGCATTACCCATGCAGAGAGCACTTACACAAGTCGTCTTTGCAACACATCACCCCTGGGGTGCAGGGCTCCAAGGAGAGCAGACTCCCAAGTCAAGTAGCCACCTGCATTTTTTCCACTATACAAAATATGAAATGCCCCAACCAAACCATATGAAATTGACATTAAAGCTATGTTATTAAGTATCTGTATGTGCACTCTACCTTTCTGCAGGCAGTTACAGATTAAAGTAGAAAGTCTGCACCCAAGTATCACCAGTTCAGACTAAAAAGGACTGGCAGTGATTTCCATAATTAGTGCAACGTTAACTCCTACACTTTATCAAAGCGACTGAACTGTTCTTCAGATGCACCACGTGCTTATTCGGGTTTTACAAAACCAGACAAACCATGACGTTGTGCAGAAAACTCATTTCAGGTTTGTGTGTGTGTATATATATATATTTTTAAAGTCTACCCCATTAAAAACCCACCAAACAGAAATAATTTGTGCCCTGGTTCAAACTCAATGGCCCCAAAAAATGACTTTTTTTATCCTAGGGTTAGCAGCAGGGCAGAGATTAAGGTTCTTCTGTTACAGATACTTTTAATTGTTTACATCTGCAGAAGAGGTTATTTGCTGTACTTTCAGGATGCTGTTCATCCTTGTCTTAGCCACTACACTGGTTTAAGGAACTGAATGTTTCTTCTTCGATGAGGACAGAAGTGAGACAACTTGTTTCTAAACTGCATCAACTTAAAGTTTCAAGTTTTAATGGTGTAAAAATCTGACATGCAATTACAGTTAAGAGAAACTTGCTACACAGCAAACTGCATCCGAATCTACCAGTTATTGATGGGACCTTTAAATTAACTGTTAACAAGTTATTCAAAGCATCCAGACCTGGAAACATCAGATCACCCATCCCCAGTAAGCCAGCAACTCCCTCCCCCTTTTTTGTGAGGCTTTAACAAATGCAACTGATGTGACCTTAGCACTGGAGCCAATGACTTCCATTGGTGAACTCCAATACCCAAAAGGGCTAGGGAGATCCTGTGTTAAGCCCAATGCAATATGCATTAGTGTCATGGAGCAGGAAGATCCCAGTGTCTACTTGTTAAAGTTCACACAAACCATAAAGATACAGACAGGATAAAACACAGACTCAAAAGGATCCATTATGCTTGAAGAAAATTCCAAATAAAATGACATCTTCTGCACAGCCCAGCCTCAGACACGGCCACACCTTTACCTAGTATAGTAAACTCTGTAGTAAACTGTTTTTGATCTCCATAGAGAGTAGGAGTTGTCAAATTTAAGAAGATAAACTCCTCTCCCTGGGTACTGGTGGCTGCCAGCATACACTTCTTCGTGACAGTCTCGTCTGTACACAGGCACTATTTCATCTAGCTGAGGCTTGTTGGCATTCTTTTTGGCTTTTTCTTCACTGCTAGTGTTTTCTGCAAGAAAAAAAAAGGGTGTCAGTTAACATGGGTGGATGCCTTACAAGAGAAAGACAGATTGATCTGTAGTGGACAAGGCACTCTTTGTTAGTTTAGAAATCAGATTGGTTGAAGGGGTTCATACCATGGCTGTGGCTAAAGCACTCAAAAGCAGGAGGAACAGTAAACATGCTCACTAAATGAATTTTACAGTTTGATATTAAAACTCACCACACCCATCTCCCCAGCACAGCTGGGTCAGTTTGCAGAGATGCCAAGCTCTAGTTTTCACTGACTGCTACTGATCTGACATACTTACTACTACTGATTACTTAGCAGTAATATCCAGAAGGTCACTGCTTCCTCTGTCAGAGCAGTTTCTTCTCAGCAAATCACACGCTCCTTTCAAAACATTTTTTGCTGGTATACTAGACTCCCCCACAGGTAAAAGCTGTGACCTGTGTCCTGGCCAGGAATTGCTCTTTTAAGTTGTTTTGCTGAAGCCTCAAGGAAACTTCCTCCCTAGAAAACATCTGTGAACAGCAGGGCAGGATTTTTCTTGAGGTTTTCAGTGTGCAGATCCACTATACTCTTATTATGGTACTGGTTTCAAGCTAGCTTACTGAATAGCTGGATTGGACAAGAGGAAACCCTACGGAGTAAGTAAAACTTAGGAAAAGGATTTCCCCACCCTGAACTGCTTTAACCTATCTGTGACCAAATGAGGTGATTGAGTTACTTTCAGAACTGCACTTCCCATTCAAAATTGATGACAACGTTCCAGCTAGATGGAACTTGTAGGAACTAGGAGATTACACAAGACAATCAGTTGGGTTTTCCCCCATGGCAAACTCTGCAAGACCAGCAGTTTATATAAAAAAGTACACTTACCTTCTTCTTCATCCTCATCATCACTGGATTCGCTGACATGCACACTGACTGCAGTATTAGGGGAGTCTGTCCATTCAAAATACACCCCAAAACCAATGTCATAATTGTCTGTAGCAAACTCCCAAAAGAGGTAAGACCCCTCTTCATGAGTTGGTACTCTCACTGTAACCACTTCTCCTCGGCCCACTGTGATCACAGAGTCTGCATCCTGCCGGATTTTTTCCTTGAAGTCTTTTATCTGGGGTCGTGTCCACATTGATGGGGCAGCTATCACTGGAACAGCATCTAGAGAGAGGGAAGGAAATACTCCAGTCAAGCTTTGTTTCAGTCATGCTGTGTACTTAAGTGTGCCTTAGGGGCACTTGAGGACCACAAGCATCAGAGTTGCTTCCACATAACCCCTTTTTTTTTTTTTAACTGAAGAAATATCTTTTGGCAGTCGAAACTTGCATGAAATGCAGTGCAAGCTTAGACCTAACACTGCACACTTAAATCCTACCAGTTCACCCATTTGCCACCTTTAAACCAAGAGCACTTATACAGAAAAGATTCAGAAGACAGATGTACTGCTACAGGTGGTGGGGTGCTGAAAGAATCTTTAATGTCACAGAACCCGAGGCTGCAATTTGCCTAGAAATTGTCAAATATTGACTAAAATAACTGAACACCCCATTTATGCAGACAGGGAACACACTAGTGTTGGTTCCCTAGTGGGATCCAAGCAAGTCTTTTGAGGACCACTGACTGTGGAAGAAAGTACAGAGGTAGCACCCAGAAATATCAGCAGTGAGAGAGCTGCTGGGAGGCTACTTTTCCTGCTCTCCTTCCACAGCTTCCTAGAAGCTGTCTGAGGAAGGTGGGAAATGCAAGAGGACAGCAGTCCGGACTGCACGTAGGACAGCGCTAAGCCACAGGTAGGGCAGCACTCGGGGAGAGTAAGAAGGATTTGGCTTTATTTTAATCTGCAAGGCTAAATCATTCAGTTTTGACCCAAGTTCAAGGAAGACTGAACATATTTCTGCACAGAACAGGTTTCTGCTAGAACTTTAATGCTCCTTTCCTTCAAGTCAAGAGTGAAAGGAGGTTCTGGATCCCACCCACTTTGCCTGAAATGCTTTTGCTGCTTCCTCTTTTCTTCCGCACAAAGCTGAGTTTTGCCTGTGTAATATTGTTCTCCCTTGAGAGAAACTGGATCCAGAAATCAAACCTAGCTCTTGCACAGCCCAATGAAGCAAGCAAAGAGCTACAGTAACCATACTTGAGACACCTGAATCCAAATAAAGGCTTCTGATATTTATTTTTAATTAAGGAACCTAGCCAGTCCTACCTTTTGGTCCATTCTCCAGTGCTTCTTCCAAAGCCTCTGGATCCAGCTCCTTTTCAGGGCTGTCTGCATGTGCACTGGCCTGCCCGTTAATAGATGGGGTGTCCCCAGGGGCAGGTGCATTCACCTTCGATGCAGTAGTCAGAGGTGTCCCTGTTGCTGCCACAACAGTCTCCTGCTGCTTTTGTAAGGCTGCCTAAAATGACAGAAATTAAGTCAAGTAAAACCAAAGCCTCCCAAGATGTCTCCTTCTTCCAGAGGAAGGTATAAAGATACTTTAAAGAAAATATTCCCCCCTGCATCCCATGAGGAGGTTTGAGACAAAAGACCAGAAGCAGTGCACATTAACCAGGGAGAATTGCATACACTCATTATCAGGGGAAGTGAAGTCACTTTGTTGTAAGCTGGTGGATACAACCTGAACAAGAAGATTCAACTTTCAAGTTGATTAGAGCAGACACAATAAACTCTTTCACTTGAACTATGGAAGTTCTGCATTTCAGTAATTCCTGTAACATTTCTTTCAAATTGAAAGTGACAGCTTGTTTGCTGGTTTTTACCAGTGGGCTGAAAAGGTTCTGGCCTGAGCTCATCCGGGTCTAAAAAGAGCTGGATGTATTTAAGGTCTGGTAAGTACTCGCCAATTTGTGAGTTAACTTACTCAACAGGGTTCTCTATCAAATCCATGAGGCCTGACAAAGGCATTTATTTAATATGAAAGCAGGAAGTTTAAGAGCCACAAGGACTGAGAGTGGTCTGGGAGAAGAGTTATTAAAGCACAGAGGTGCTGCTTTTAGAACATGACTTATGTACATTGAAACTCTTCAGATAGAATTTATCATGCTGTCCCTGTGCAAAGGATTAAATACACCTAAAATGAGATTATCCAAGGTAACAGCCATCCTTCTGGTTTTTTAGCAGGATGCATTACCCCTTTAGCTTCAAGGCTTATTCCCCTGCCCTGTTACCAGTACAGAGAGATAACATAGGCTTTTTTTTGTTGGGACGGGGAAAAAGTATAATCAACTTTATTTCTTTAAAGAACAACCTAACAAGCATATGATTTTGATGAATGAACGGAATACAGGTATCCTGAGGGAGTACAACATCGTCAAACATTAGTTAGATTTCAAATTTGAGCAATTGTACAGATGCTGCCCAGATCCACTTTCTACTACAGCGGATCCATGCACTGAGACAATGTAAAGCAGTGAACTTTTCTAGGAATACTATTGCATACAGTCTTTCCAAAATTAACTGTACCACAAGCTGACCTGTAAGCAACCACGACAGAACAGCACTTTTTAACTGCACTCATAGATCCCAAGGCAGCTGAGTTACCAGCATCCAAAAGGAAAGTATTCCTCAGAAGTGCTACAGAGCCTACCCAGGTCTTCAGGAAAGCCTGAAGTAGAATTAGGCAATTTTAGTTCTGTTACAAGCTGCTTTTTCACCCTTTCCTCTACAAGAGTTGTCCAAGTAGAGATCTGAAAGGTAAGCTTCATTGCCTGGCAGATTTAATATTCTGTGATACACCATAAAGGAAAGGCTGCTTTGCCCCAGCTCTCAGGTGGCATTAGTCTTCTGTATTTAGGAAGCAGAGAGCCATGACCGAGAGGAGCAGTGCTGGTAGCATTGAAGAAAATTGTCAGCAGCATCTCCGACACCTCAGTCTCATGGGAGCAGTATCAATTACGAAGGCATCAAGGACAAGACTGATGAGGGTATAGTTTTTGCTTACCACTATGACACCAAAGCATTGGTAGCAGGGTGTCATTAAGCTTCAAGAGTAACTATAACAGGGCAGGAAGCCTCTGACTTTCCTGTATCACCTCTACTCCATTGAATCATGGTTCGGGTTGGAAGGGACCTTTAAAGACCATCCAGTTCCAACCCCCCTGCCATCAGCAGGGACACCTTCCACTAGACCAGGCTGCTCAAAGCTCCATCCAACCTGCCCTTGAACACTTCTAATGAAGGAGCATTCACAACTTCTCTGGGCAACCTGATCCAGTGTCTCACCACATTTACTGGGGGAAAAAAATAAAATAAAATAAAATAAAATTCTTCCTTATTTCCAGTCTTAACCTACATTCTCTCAGATTAAAACCATTGTCCCTTGCCCTGTCACTACAGCCCTGGTAAAGAGATCTTTCTCATAAGCCCCCTTTATATACTGAAAGGCTGCAATAAGGTCCCCCCCAGATGCTTCTCCTCTCAAGGCTGAACAACCCCAACTCTCTCAGCCTTTCTGAGGTGTTCCAGTCCTCTGACCATTTTTGTGGCCCTCCTCTGGACCTGCTCTAACAGGTTCATGTATTTCTTGTACTGGGGATCCCAGAGCTGGAAACAGGACTCCAGGTAAGGTCTCAGGAGAGCTGAGGGGAAGAATCTCCGCCCTCCCTCAGCCTTCTGGCCACACTTCTTTTCACGAAGTCCAGGATATGGTTGGTTTTCTGGGCTGCAATAGCCCATTGCCAGCTCATACCCAGTTTTTCATCTAACAGTATCCTTAAGTCCACCCCCACTGGGCTGCTCTCAATCCATTCATCCCCCAGTCTGTATGGATACTGGGGACTGCCCTGACCCACATGCAGGACCTTGCACTTGGCCTTGTTGAACTTCATGAGGATTATATGGGTTCACAGGGCTTCCATCCTTGGACAGTTCTTCGCTGAGGGCATCAGCCTCCTCAAAATGCAAATGAATTAAAAATCAGTAACTAATATCCTGTTAAGTCTTTAGCTTAAGAACAACAGATCTCAGGCGGGAAGTCACAGTCCATTTAAAATTCAGGTCCTGTCCAGAGAAGTCAGACATACTAGAGTCTGAAGTCTGGCTTTCATCTGTTTAAGACAGTTACAGATGTCAGTTTCAGCCCTGAACTTTCCCCAAACAAAGTAGCAGCCGTCCAAGCCCAGGCATAAAACCCTACAAAGAAGTAACGTACATGGAGAGTCACTTAAACAGGTGTATTTGTGCTCAAGAGAAGCATGGCCAGCAGGTCGAGGGAGGTGATTCTCCCCCTCTACTCTGCTCTTGTAAGGCCCCACCTGGAGTACTGTGTCCAGTTCTGGAGCCCCCATCACAAGAGAGACCTGGAGCAGCTAGAACAAGTCCAGAGGAGGCCACGAGGATGATCCGAGGGCTGGAGCACCTCTCCTACGAGGACAGGCTGAGAGTTGGGGCTGTTCAGCCTGGAAAAGAGAAGGCTCTGGGGAGATCTTATAGCGGCCTTCCAGTACCTGAAGGTGCCTACAAGAAAGCTGGGGAAGGACTTTTCATAAGGGCAGGTAGTGACAGAACAAGGGGAAATGGGTTTAAGCTGGAAGAGGGGAGGTTTAGATTAGATATTAGGAAGAAGTTCTTTACTGTAAGGGTGGTCAGACACTGGAACAGGTTGCCCAGAGAAGTTGTGGATGCCCCCTCCCTGGAAGTGTTCAAAGCCAGGTTGGATGAGGCTTTGAGCAACCTGGTCTAGTGGAAGATGTCCCTGCTGATGGCAGGGGGTTGGAACTGGATGATCTTTAAGGTCCCTTCCAACCCAAACCATTCTATGAGTCTATGTAGCCCCATTAAATTACACACACAATAGATGCTGCAGCACAGTGCTCCACATTTAGTCTCCAAGAATAATATCAAACAAAGTAATTAGTAGAGGCTGCTTACAATTTTCTTAACTAACAGCTGCTTCAGAAAACTACTCAAAAAGATGAAATAAAGAGGCTTTGGCGTTTGAATCTGAAGCAGCATTAGTCACTACGACACCATCTCTCCTCGTAGCAATTATCTTTTTAAGGAGATAACGGCAGACAAGTTAACATCTCCCAGAGACAGCCTGGGACACAAAAAATCTAAGTTTCTCAGCTGGTCGGCCATACCTGTTGCTGTGCAAGCTGGACTTGGTACAACTGCTGCATGTATTGTTGGTAATGCTGTTCCTGGAGCTGCCGAATTAGGATCTGCTGCTGTTCATAGTTGCCCGGATACTGCTGGGCTGCATACTGCTGGAACTGAATGGCAGTCTGGGAGTTCAGTGCTGCCATTATTTGTTGCCTGGATTGATGGGAGGAGAGTAGGAAGATTACAAGCAGCTGAGAGTATTGGGGAAATCCCTGTACTTAAGTGATTTAAGTGGCCTCAAAGACAGTTAATTCAATTCCTGCAAAAACTAATTAAAACAAATCTACATAGTAGAACAGAGCCTAAAGGTAAAGTAAATGTGAATTTTGACTAAAAATAAGCTGAAAATATAAAGAAGGGAGCAACAATTTCTACCCAATGTTTGCAAGCATCAAGTGTTAAAAAAACCAAGAGCTCTTACATAATTCTCAATCTGTAGTCTGATAAAGAGGGAGTGCTAGAAAGATAGAGGTAGTTGCATGACTAAATTTCTCAAACAAGGGGAAAAAAACCCCACATCTGGTCCTCCAGAAAGCATGCAGAAACCATCCTTCTGGCAGCCCTTCTACAGATATTGATAAGAACAGGCCTGCTGTGGTACAGCACGGCAGTGCTTTCAGGTAAATCTATGAAGAATGCACCACATACTATCTTGATTTCCCCAGATATCAGGCAAACAGATGAAAAGCATGATTGACTGTGGCCTAATTCAGGAATGAAAAAAAATGCTGTCAAATAGGGCATCTGTGCCTCCAATAAACTTAACTGCTGAAACTTCAGGAGCCCATGGGTTACTTATACACAAGCTCAGTTTTCCTCCTCTTTCCAAAGGACTAACAGAAGCTATATAGTAAAAAGCTAACTAGATCCAGAGTTCATTCTGTGTCACGTTACATCCATCAGCAACCAGTTATCAATGCTTCAGAGGCAGGAAGAAGTATCACACAAACGCAGGAGTAATTCTTTGCTTCCTGCCCGTCTTCCTTTCCCCAAAATCATCCTCTAAAAGCTCCAGTATTAGAGTGGTTTGTATCCTAACGGGCAAGATTCACTATTTCAGCAAAACTGTGACTTTAGATACACTTGGCCTGTATATATGTACCAAATTCCTTTTCTAAATTCTTTATCTCTGTAACCTGTTACAACCACTTAATACACAACTGCTATTCATGTAAAAAAAAAAAGGTAATCTCTTAACTTCAAGGCATATCACCGCTCGCTACTTAGCACCGTGCAACATTCTCCTGTTGTCTCCTCTGTTCATTTATGCCTGTGTTCTATGCTCCTCTGGCTCTCATGGTGTTAAACAAACAGTAAAACTTGTGGATTAATTATTTGCTCCTTTCTCAAAATCGCTACATAGCAAGTGTGGGATCTATTTCAGAGACACTCCCTGCAAAGACATTTTTATTATGGAAAATGGTTGCTGACTGATGTGGAACAGCTTTGATGATTTACTGTTCTCTTAAACATTCTGCGTGCAAAGCTAGATCCATGTTTTCAGCATCTGGGTATGATGGGAACAATTAAATATAACTAGAGCTGTATATTCTAAGTAAACAATTTAATTCAGGCTACAAACAGAGGTTAAGTGCATTTGAACATGAATTTTGTACTCCTTTTAGAAAGGTTCTAAAAATCCAGCGATTGCCAGTGTACAAATGAGATCTGCAGACACTTCACACTGCCTAGAAATGGAGCACTTTTAAGGAGGTAGTGTTAGACCACAGATTTAGAAAATTTCAGACATGCATTCAAAACACCCCACTGAACTGCAGTTATCCTTCTTCAAGGCTCTGCTTTCTGTGAAAGGATAGAAACTTTCAAGTCACAGTTCAAACAACAGTTCCAGTTGGACACTTAACACTACTCAGTTGAGTGCAGAATTAATCATTTAAGAGGCAGAGTCACAAGTTTTCATAGCATGCAGCCCTTGAACCCAAAACCCTCCAGAGCTTCTCTTTAAACAGAGCTTCTCTAGCACTTTCATCTGAGAAGGCTGCATACAATAACACGTTAGGATAATTATTCTCTGCAGACTGTGTCCCTCTTAACTAAGGATGCAAATGTCACTGCCAGAATCAAGTGCTCTGAACTTCAGGTATTCAGTTCTAGCATTACTATTTAAGAAGTGAGGTACAATTGCCTCAAGTGCAAGGCAGTTATTTTCTTTGAAGTGTCACTTGTTTCTGCTACTCACTTCTGTTGTTCCATCCGAAGTCGTTCCTCCTCTATTCTCCTCCTCTCTTCTTCTTCTCTTCTCAGTCTTTCCTCTTCTTCTCGCCTACGTTTTTCTTCCTCTTTTTGTAATCGCTCACGCTCCTCCTCTTCACGCCGCCTTCGTTCCTCCTCTTCTCTTCTGCAACATCCACTCAATAAGCTATTTCAGCATTCCAACAATCCTAGGATGAGCCATTTTCTACATGCTGTAACCTGCCTCATGCCTGCCCAATAAGGCTTTTTGTTTGGTATCATCTCCTCCCACTTCAATTTGACTGGAGAAGTGTTTTATTGGACACAAGAAGACATGTTACTGTTCAGTTTTACTGCACTGTACAGTATGGCAAGTGTAAATTCTGCATTCTCATTTGATATTAATTCTAATCTATTACTATACTATCCTTCACAGAGAGCAGTAGAAAAAAACATCTAGAAACCTTAAACACATCTTGTAAGCTTTAACACAACACATATGTTTAATAATTACATGGATAGTATAGTTTAATAATCATGGCATGTAAATGATAGCAGAAGATAGCCCTTGTCAAGTTGCTAACCCACACTAGGAATTTAAAGCATGTAACAATGTCCTGTGTATGTTTAGTCCACAGACATATTAGAGCAGACATTTTGTGAAGCATGTACTTCTTTAACAGAAGACAGTATCAGCAAGATTAAAAAAACTCCTCCTTGTATTCTAGATGTCTACATAAAAAAGCTTAAAGAGATCAAATGATACCACAGCCACCTAAACTTCAAGTATTTCTCTTTCCGACACAACTTCAACTCAAGTTAGCTGCGACACTGTCCGTCGGTCAAGAGTTATACACTCAATATTCTCCAACATAAAAGGACTCAAACCTTACCTTTTCTTTTCTTGTTCTTCTTTCTCTATCTTGTGGGAAGTGACATATGTTGAAAACAAGTGGCAGCACCTATTCAGGAGCTTAACAAATTCTGTCATAGCTTTTTGCTTTGACATGTTTCCAAGGGCAGCCCATTCCTTCCTGAGAGAGAGAAATCAGCTGAAATAACAGAAGACTCAACTCTTTTCAAGTCAGTAGTGAACTCTGAGAACCCAGCAAAGAAAAAAAAGTTGGGAGACCAGGGACCAAACTTTTCAGTTGCAGAGAACCAATAACTTTCTCCCATTCAAAGACAGACCTTAAACCTGTAGGTTCCAGTGCTCTCTTCTGCCTGAACCAGAACAACCCGTTCAAACAGACATAATCGAGTGCTTATATTAAATGTCAAACATAACATTGACCCTACTTTGAATTCTGAACTATGTCCAAAAACTTCTCAGCTACAAATGACCCTGAAATATTTTTTTTACCCTTCTTCCACTCTAGTTTGTGGAAAAAAATACACACATTTTCCTGCTTGAACAAACATGGTAACAACCATTGATTACATTGCTTCAGTTAGTTGAATGCAACAGCCTGGTTCTTTCTAAAGGAAAACTAGGTCCATTTGGGCAAAAGCAGTGCACTGAGCCCAGCTTTGAGAAGCCAGTGCTGTATTGCACACTACTTTCACAACTATAAATAGAATCAATGAACAAGAGAACGGCAAGCAATACAAGAGGCATGCCTGAGACTGTCCAGATCTCATCAAAATTTACTCAGAGGTTGAATGCACCAGGTATCTGATTTCAGAAGTTATCCTTGGCTACGCTGAATGCTGTTACCACTGGCAAAAGGCCTGGCCTGTTGCAACCCTAGTGTGGAGCTAGAATGAAACATGGGCTTTCACATTAATGCAGAGCTAACCAAGTCTTTAACTGCTGTGAGAAACTCAACTCTAGGCACAGCAGCTTTTCCTAATGTGGCTTAAAAAACTCAACAGTCTTCTGTTAGCTCCTTTACCGACCTGTGACTCAGATTTCTACGATGTATTTGAAGAGGCCACTCACTTTCCACTACTATACACATACACTGACACAACGCACATACTTTTCTTCTTATTGCGGAAATTGGATGATGTCTTCTTCAAACAGGAAAAGTAGAGTTAAGACCAAGAAGAGCACCAGCCCTTTTACCTTCTGTCATTTCCCAGCACATCAAAGAATCCAACTTCAGGGCAAGTGTCGGGGTTGTAAGGTCCCAGCAGAACCTGCTTGTGCAGCGCCACAAGTTTGAGTTTTTCTTCATACGTTGGATGAAAGGCTTTGCCATCTTTTTCTGTAGAGGAAAAGAAAATTTCACTGTTGTGATTAATTAATTAAGCACAGGACAGCAAACAGCATTTTGTATAACCACTATTGTGATTCTTCTGTAAAAAAAGGACTCAGAAAGATAAGCCACAAAAGGTTAGACAAATTAAGTCAGCTCTATTCAAATAAAATAAAGATCTGTCCAGAAGAAACACATTTAACTTAAGCTGCTGAAACTTAATTTTGAAGTGCTTTTCATCATACCATCCAGAGTGAATCTTAGCTAGTAAGTTATCCCATCAATATTTATGTTAATTAGTTGAACATCATACCATATGGATCTGTATCTCTGAAATATTTAAAAACCTTTACTTGACTTCAAACAATCCTGCCAAGTCTATTGTAGAGTGGATAGGAAGGATTTTCCACAAAGATGTCATGTTAACTTTATAGATTGCTCTCCTTTCATGCTCTTCACATCTATGAAAGCAGAACAAGCAAGGTTTAAGGCAAGGAAAACTGCAGAGTGAAAATCAGAATTAAGGGAAAGTTTTCTCTGAGGCAATTTGATTGCTGCAGTTTGCCAAGGCAGCTGGAATAACCCCTCACAATGAGAAGTCTTAGAGGTGACTCCATCAACACCAACATGTACAGAGAGCTCTGGCCATAAGACACAGACACCACAAGCCTGAACATAACCAGAATTCCAGTGGCTCCACACTAACACCTTCTGAAGCGAGCCCGGTTAGATCTTGCCACACATTTAGGGGAGAGGAGAGACTTGCACTGATTTAAAATGATGTATGAATTAGTCAGCAAGGACTTACCTCAGCACATTCGAACTGTCAAAACAAATCAAAGAAACAGATACTGCTATACGTAATTACCCTGCTCATTAAGAGACCTTTTTATTGAACAGAAAAACAAATAAATAGGCACAATCTCCTTTTGGAAGGGCTGAAACGAGGAACTCGTTATCGGATGTAAACAATAGACATTTCACATGACTGTACTACTAACTGCTCTCCATGTAGTCAGGAACCACAGGCAGAGCTGACACTTGTTTCCGCCTCTCCTTTCACAGTAAAGGTCACTTTGGAGCAAGTTGTTTACAGTCCTGGCCTGGTTTTTAGTCCAATTCACACCCAAATTTTAGGGTTGATATTTACATATTGCATAATTGCTTGTTTGATGCTGGCAAACAGAGTTATTAACAGGAAAAGGAGCAAATCTCGGAACAAAAGCGGTGGTGGGGGGGGCGGGGGACAGCGGGAAATATCTCTGCTGTGACTTATTGAGAAACTCAGGGAGTAAATACTTCTGACAATTGAGAATTAGAGATAACCCCAGAGGAAAAGTGTTTACAGGTGACAGCAAGAAGTTATGCTTTTGATAGAGTAATAAGTTCAGCACATTACTGGACTTACTCTGTTAAAACATCACAAGCAACCATTACACGCATGCCATTCATTTTGAAGCCAGAATCAAAGAATTAGGAAGGTGAACGTTTAATCACTTATTGTCCATTCCTAGAAGTCCACTTCACTCTTTCAGAATTTCACATATTTACTCTTCTCCCAGTGTCACACAACATTACAGTAAATATCTCTTCCACCTTCAAAAACCAGAAACCTTCATCCACAAAAATAGATATTTCCAAAAATAGCTGGTGGGGTGGAGAAGTGAGGGGGATGTAAAGATTGAACAAGAGTCTTGTGAAAGACTCAACGGTATCCAGTGAAAGTACAAAAGGCAGCAGACACAAACTGAAATATGGGAAATTCCACTTAAGCATAAGAGGTGGCTTTTAAAAAAAAAAAAAAACCCAAACCCACGAGAGGGATCAAGCACTGGAACAGGTTGCCCAGAGAGGTTTTGAAGCCTCCATCCTTGGACATATTCAAAACCCAAACAGACACACTCCTGCTCTGAACAAGGAAGGCTGAACTGGACAATCCCCAGAGGTACCTTCCCGCCCCAACAAACCTGTGATCCTGAAGAGATGCAAATTACCATGCCCTGGTAAGCTCTCTCCTTGGCTCTCAGATCTCTTGCTCTCTGGCCACCCAAAGAGCCCTTTAGGCTTTTCCTCAATTCTTCACACTTGGCATTTAACTCAGAATTTGCTTATTAGGTAGCAAGCATTTCCATTAGCCTCAATAAACAGCATGCACTTTGAAATCATACTTAATATCCTGAAGCAGCATGCTTAAGAGCAAGTCAATTGATAAGGGTACTACACTGAAATTTTGCCACGCTTCTCAGCGAAGTACGCTTCTCAAGAGGGTCCCTATGGCACAGTTTACCTTGCACAACCTGTACACCTACAGTTGTCTGCCAAAAACCCACTGCTATTTGCTCTACTAGACTGCTACCTAAGCCAGTCAACATCACCAGTATTTGAACTCACTTCTGAAGAGGGTTAAAGGCAAAAAACCCCATTGTTTCCCATGCTATACACAGCACACCAGCATTCTCACACAACAGAGAAGTCAGACCTCAAGCCCTAACTATCAAGAGAAACCAAAATCTGCATTTACAAAGAACGGTGACCCAAGGGAAGAAGAACAAACAAGTTAAATAAGAGAGAAAAACAGACAGATGAGAAAAGTACGAGACAGGCATTTGGTGACTTGTAGGTAATGCAGATTAGAAACTCTCTCAGCAGAGTATTTGAAGCCAGTCAGGAGTGCGAAGCTGTGTACTAGCTATTTTTCAGTTGAATTCTTCAGCATGAATCACACTGTACAATTACCCCAAAGATTTGGAATTGTTGCTGTTAAACTGCACCAGAGGACCTGAAGCGATCTACAGAGTCAAATATGCCAAAAAAAAGCATTAATGAGCCCAGACAAGTAGAAGTGCCAAATTTATTCAAGCATCTGTGAACATACCATTTAAGTAGGTATTACCCACACATCTAACAGTTCTTAGGAAGCTGGAGAACACCAAAGGGCTATAGGGAACACGCTGAGAAATCCAAAGGGCGCACAGCAGCAGTACAGCAACTATACAACCCTCCCTACGCCACTGGTATGCCTGACCCGACAGGGCCAGAGAAAGGCTCAGCTGTCTCACAGAAGCTTAGGAGACTTCTTCCCTGACAATACTTGAAACCATCATTCACCTGAAATGGCAACTTCTCAAGTCAACTAAACTCTATGTTTAAGCAGCAGCCAGAAACAGATCAAACTCAAGTAGTGATTAAGGGGATGGTTACATGACCAAGGCAGGTTATGGACCTACAATGCTTTAGGCATTCTGCAGTAAGGGCCTATATATATATATATATACACACACACATCTACACACACACACACACCCCAAATATATGTACTATGATGACATAGAATCATTAAGGTTGGAAAAGACCTCTAAGATCATTAAGTCCAAGCATCAATGCAGCACCACCATGCCCACTAAACCATGTCCCTAAGCATCACATCTACTGTCTTTAAACACCTCCAGGGATGGGGACTCAACCACCTCCCCAGGCAGGCCGTTCCAGTGCCTGAGAACCCTTTCAGTGAAGAAATTTTTCCTGACATCCATTCTGTACCTCCCTTGGTGCAACTTGAGGCCATTTCCTCTTGTTCTGTCACTCATTGCTTGGTTGAACAGACCAACCCCCACCTCTCTACACCTTCCTTTCAGGTAGCTGTAGAGAGTGATAAGGTCTCCCCTCAGCCTCCTTTTCTCCAGGCTAAACAACCCCAGTTTCCTCAGCTGCTCCTCATAAGACTTGTTCTCCAGCCCCTTCACCAGCTTTACTGCCCTTCTCTGGACATGCTCCAGTGCCTCAATGTCCTTCTTGTAATGAGGGGCCCAAAACTGAACACAGTACAGGTGCAGCAACTATGTGAAGTAGTTCACCTAGAACACAGAGAAAGACAGGCTCCCACTTACTGCAAACTCAGGCCTCACTGATGTGTGCCATGAAACCACAACAGGGCATTACTATGTGGTCACCCCCGGAAATGCCTGCACACCTAATATCACCTCTTCAGATGACCACTCTCCTTGATGGTGACTACTTTATTTAGATGTCGACAAAACTGAGATCCAATGAAGGCAACTCAGTTAAACACTCCAGAAAACCAATACTTAGAAACACCAACGACCCTCCTTGCACTACAGGTAATTAACTGTATGTTTGAAGACCACAGTTTGTGTTGGCATGTAAACACAACAGAAAGATGAAGCTGTAACTAGTAATGAAAAGCAGATAGTGGAGACTTATGTCACTACACAGCACTGTAGCACTGACATTAATTGGTATAAAACCACAAATTCAGACTCAAGGGAGTTTAATATGCTGAAGAAGAGACTACATCGTGCAAGATACTGTTACCTCCATGTAACTTCAGATTATTTTTTTCCTGTAAGAAATATGGCATAACATGCTGCAGTTTCCACTCCACCTTCATCCACTGCACTCACTCTAAATGCCTAATTCCCATGGGAAGTCACCTAGAAGAAGCTAGAAAACAGTTTGTGAAATGCAATTTTTCATCTCAGAGCTTTTAAAAGCAGAAGTCACATATATTAATGCAAACTTGCAAAGTTTTAATGAGCAAGACCAAAACTGAGAAGCACAAGAACTGAATCGCTGCCTGCAAATCCCAGGACACACTCTTACACTCATAATTCTCCTCTCCTGAAGTTGTTCTGCATCAACAGAAGAGTTACTAACCGGACCTTCCAATTAAACATGATCAAAGCTAACTTCACATCAAACATAGATATGTTGTAGTGGTTTTCAGATTCTTGAAAACAAGAGCCTACTTAACTTTAGAACTACAATCATGCCATCAAATTAGCCTTCAAAAAAAAAAAAAGATGAGGTCAAACAATTAATTTAGAATTATGTATTGCTGAGGTTGAAGATGCATTCACGTTAGGAAAAGAGGATCTAACTTGGAGCAGTCAAACAAAATTAGAGTACTTAACATACCAGGAGAGCTTTTAGATAGCAAAATGATATGGTTTGATACTGTCTACTCAGATGTGCTGCACTGCAAATCACTT